TTTACTTGTAAGAGTAATCTTAATACCCACAAGAGGATCCACACAGGTGAGAAGCCATATCAATGCTTGGAGTGTGGAAAGACCTTCTCTAATAATTACTCTCTTACAAGACATCAAAGGAGTCACAAAGGAGAGAAACTGTATCAGTGCATGGAGTGTGGAAAGAGCTTTAGTAGTAAATATACTCTGATTCACCATAAAAGCATCCATACAGAGGAAAAGCCATATCAATGCATGGAGTGCAGAAAAACTTTCTGTTATTATGTCTCTCTTATAAAACATCAAAGGAATCACAAAGGAGAAGGGCCATATAAATGCATGGAGTGTGGAAAGAGCTTTAGTTGTATCAGTCATCTTAATTCCCACAAGAGGATTCACACAGAAGAGAAGCCATATCAATGTGTGGAATGTGGAAAGGGCTTTAAGTGGAATTCTGCGCTTACCTCCCACAAGAATACCCAGCACGGAGACAAACCATATCAATGCATGGAGTGCAGAAAAACCTTCTGTTCTTATGACTCTCTTATAAGACATCAAAGGAATCACAAAGGAGAAAGACCTTATAAAAGCCTAGAGTATGGAAAAACCTTAACTTGTAGCTCTAATCTGGATTCCCACAAGAAGACCCACACAGAAGAGAAACCATATCAATGTGTGGAATGTGGAAAGGGCTTTAAGTGGAAATCTGCTCTTACCTCCCACAAAAGGATCCACACAGGAGAGAAACCATATCAATGTAAGGAGTGTGGAAAGGCTTTTCATTGTAGCAGAAATCTGAATTCCCATAAAAGGATCCATGTAGGAGAGAAGCCATATAAATGTGTGCAGTGTGGAGAGGGCTTTAAAAGGAGTTGTGATCTCGCTTCCCATAAAAGGATCCATACAGGGGGAAAAACCATATGAATGCATGGCGTGTGGAAAGAGCTTTGCAAGAAGTAAAGCTCTTTACTTGCTATAAAAGGATCCACACACAGGAGAAACCATATCAATAAAGGAAGTATGGGAAGAGGTTCAATAGAAATACAGGTTTATGACTGCAGTTGAGCCCAAAATTCCTATTGCTAAGCAAACGGTTGTTAAGTGAGTTGTGATCCATTTGTCTACTTTTCTTGCCACATTTGTTAAGTCAATCATTGCAGTGGTTAAGTTAGTAACACTATTGTTAAGGGAATCTGGCTTTTCCATTAATTTTGCTGGTCAGGTTGAACACTGTAACCATCATAAATGTGAGGGGCGTGTCAAACTTCTGCATGTAAATCATGTGTCCATGTTTCAACAGTCAGAAGCGTGGAAAATGGTCGTAAGACACTTTTTTCAGTACCATTCTAACTTCAAATTTTAGTAGATGAACTGTTCTAAGTTGAGGTTTATCTGTCTGGGAATTCAATATAATTCAACCAAAAGCCGTAGAACAAGATCACATATATATCAATGTATCATGTGAAAAGAATTTCAGAATGATGAATTCCTCTCACAAAAGAAATCAGAATGAGAAGTGAAATACTAGATTGTTAACATTAGCAGGTCATGATTTATTATTGGGACAGGACGCCTTTTTATGGTATAAGGAAAGTAAAACACATGGGTATTTGAGGAGACACTATATTCACAATGCTTTATTAATATGGGAGAAAATTAGGAAACAACATTACATGAAAATACCAGTCTGGTTGTCAACTATAGAGGAATTTGCATATCCAATTGTTTATAGAATGGAACAAACAATAAGATACAATGAAATATTAAATGAAGAAGGTGAACTCAAATCTAAGCAAGAACTCGAGAAACAAGGACTACAGATGAATTGATATTCATATTTGCAAATACATTTTAGATATAATAAAGATCATAGGATAGAAGGATTTTATAATGAATTAACTGAATTAGATGGAATTTTGACAGGTACTGATGAGAAGGTGATCAAAAAACTATATGCATATTTACTTGGAGTAAAATTAGAAAAACAAGTTAAAGAAACAGTGATTGCCTGGGGGGAAAACTTTGGATATGGGATAGATTTAGAAAGATGGCCGAAATTATGGTCTCAGAATTGTAAAATAACCATGTCAACAGCATAGAAAGGGAATTTGTATAAGTTGTTTTACAGGTGGCATCTACCCCAGCAAGGATAGCAAAGATGTTTAAGAATAAATCGGAGAAATGCTGGAAGTGTTATCAGATATCTGGATCATATTATCACATGTGGTGGATGTGTGTGGAAGCTAAGAGATACTGGACTAAAATTCATACATGGCTGGAAAAAATGACAAAAGAGCATATAGACTTGAAACCAGAGATATTTTATTGGGTATCTTACCTGAAGGATACAGTAAAGAAGTGACATATTTTATTATAAATGTTTTGACAGCAACTAGAATTGCATTTGCCCAAAATTGGAAAAGTGAAAAAATTCCTATAGAAGAGGTGATTAAGAAAATAATGGAATGTGCAGAAATGAGTAAATTGACATTAGCAATTAGAGAGCAAGAAAATGAAGAGTATTATAAAATTTGGGACTTATTTTATCAATGGTTAAATAAGAAAATAGGGAAATAAAATACAATACAATATAAATACAATGTTATAATAAAGATAAGACTAATGTTACGTTATGATTGACGATAATGAAATAATTGATATGAAGTAGGTTTTGCAAAAGTTGAAACTTGCTCGAAAAGGATAATGTGAATTTACAATTAAAGTCCAATAAGGAGTTAAAAATATAATATGCATAATTGATTTATATAATATGAAGTTTAATAATGTATCTAGAAGGGAAAGACTGTTGATATTGTGCACAAGAAGATACGTACCAACCGACATACTGAACAATGGAAAGATGGTTTTATGTTTTGTGTTTATGTTTGTATTTGTTTATGTTGTTAAAAAATAAAAAAAATTGAAAAAAAGAGAAGTGAAATCTGTGTTCAAAGACACTTTTTGAAGCATTAGAACCAAGGTGTTGCAATGGTTACAATGCAGTATTGCAAGCTGTTTCTGCTGACTGCCAGGAGTTCAATTGTGACCAGCTCAAGGTTGATTAAACCTTCCACTCTTCTGAGACCAGTAAAATAAGAACCCAGATTGTTGGAGGTAATATGCAGATTCTGTAAACCATTTATGGAGTGCTGTAAAGTACTATGAAGCAGTATATCAGTTTAAGGTCTATACCTATTGCTATTTTGCCTTTCTATGACATGATAATAAGGAAATCTCTAAATTCAATTTAAATAAATTGGGTTTAAATGAAATTAATTGGATTTTAATTAGAATGGAATAAAATTAATTTTGGATATAATAAAATTAAATATTGGAGGAGGAAGAAGGCAGAGCCTCCTCACTGACAGACCGTAGATCCCAACTCTGCGGCTATGGTCCGTGCTCTTTCATTGGAGAGCCCCGATCATTGCAATTAGGGGCTGAAGCTGCCTTGGAGGGGCAGTGGAGTAAGGGGAAGCCGCAAGCCAGGTTGAGGGGAGCCGCCTCCCCCCCCCCCCCGGGCTTGGTCTTCCCCCCCCCGAAGACGACTGCAGCAATGATTTAAAATGGCCACCCCGAAGAGGAGGACACAGCTGGATTAAGATTTGTGCAGGAGGGAAGAAAGAGGTGGATAACATCTGAATCAGGATAACTGGGCAATACAACTAAACAAAATTGCCCCAGGATTAAGGTAACATGGAATTTTTAAGAAAAGAAAAGTGAGCAGCAAAATTACAAAGGGACAGGAAAAAAAGAAAATATTTTTGACAGCTAAGCAGGCTTCAAACCAGGAAAGGAAGAAGCTGGAACTAAAGATTTAATTAAATTGGACTAAAATATTTTGGGAATAAACAGGCATAAAATAAAGCTGGACTTAAGATTCTCAAAAAAAAATAATAAATTTTACAAATTGGAGACTGGACTGTGCCAGAATATTGAGGTTCAAAAAACCCTAAATAAAAAAATAGGGGGAAAAGGTGAAGACTTTGTATAATGGAGAGTGACAAAAACTTGAGCTTAAACAAGGGAAAGCATCCTGTTTCTGAACGAACTTGTGTGGATATAAAATAAATGTTGAAACAAAGTAAGAATCTTAGAAAGTGAAAGCAGAACCAGAATAAAGAAAAAAGCAAGGAAAGAATGACTGGGATTTATTGATGTTTTTGGTATAGACCCTGGGCTGGAATAATTGAAAACTTTAGAAAATTGAAAGAAGAAAGAAGGAAAGTAAAAGTGTTTTTTTGTGGACTTTAACGATCAAAAAGATATAAGAGTGTAATGATGATATCTCTCCAGGAATTAAAAATGGAACTTAAAAATATGAGAGAATTACTACAGGAAAGAGGCGAATCACTTTGCTCTGTGTTAGGAAAAATGGAAATGGCGATTGAAGAAGAGCTTCAGAGGAGGAGGAGTCGATTCAAGGAGAAGGCATTTTAAAAAGACAATTAACACAAAGAACACTACAAAGAAGTGGGTAAAGAAGGAAGGTTAGAAAGTTGAGATTTAAGAAGGCAATCAAAAGGGGGAATACCTGTGAAGTTGGGAAAGACAGAAAGACCCAGCAGAAAAAGGGAAAGGAAGATATTAAGAAAGAGGGATATAAACTGGAATGAGAAAAGATATGGGGAAAAGAGGGGAAGGAGAAGCAGTAAGAAACAGGTGCATGAAATAAAGAAATATGGAAATAGTAAAATGTTGAAAAGAAATTGTTTTTTCAGAGATAATGGTTGATGAATTAAAAAGGGGATTCTGCAGAGTGACAAGGGGTAATAAGAATATTTCTGCAATTAAAAATATTTAGAAAATAGGGTAATACAGATATTGATAACTCTTATTAAAAATCAAGGGGGGGGAATATGCTGTGGAATCCAAGTGAAAAGATGTAATGATTATTATTGTAACCTTAAAAATAATGGTTTATTGGGAATTAAGATGAGGGAATAAAGGTATATTTTAATCATTGAGGTGTCACACTCAAAACAGTAAAAGGGGGGAAACCTATACTTTTTTTTTAGTGTTAAAATTTGTATTAATCTAGAATTTATAAAAAGAATGTATAATGGAAAGGAAACATGACAGACTAAAGAACCAACTAAATGTTAATATAGACTATTAAAAGCAAGGAGAGACATTGGTAACTTTTATTATTATTACTATTATTATTATTATTAGGCAAACATATTGTTTATCTTTATTTTTAAAATAAATTTTAAAGGATTATATTTGAAATAATTGAAATGAAAAAGATGTTTTGATTGAGATTAATGAAAGAGGTTAGAATTAATGTGTTTGTTTCTCTCTTTACTGAAAATTTGGAATGGAAAAGGTAATAATAGAATTAAGTATGCATATATCAATGTATAATTGCTGTCATATTTGTATATAAAGGTGATGACCCGGAAAAGAGAAGATGTTGTCCACTAAAAAGAGATTTTTGTTTTTAATGTGAAAAACTGAATAAAGTTTGTTAAAAAATTAAATTAAATTAAATATTGGTATGGTTGTCCTTGAGACATTTTTAATTCCATTTTAATGAATTAAAAAATAAACCCACAGGAAAACTTTTGGAAGGATTTGGAGGTGAGGGAGGAATACTTCAGGTTTTCAAAGAATCAGGCTACATTGAAGCAGGGGTGGGATTCAAATTTTTTAACAATCAGTTCAGTGGGCATGGCTGAGTTGGTGGGCATGCCCAACTCAACATCACTTGCATCAAGGCACACATCTCCTCGCCTGGCCTCTCATGACTGTGGGGATGCTGCAACAGTCATAAGTGTGAGAAATGGTCATAAGTCACTTTTTTCAGTGCCATTGTAACTTTAAATGGTCACTCCACACAAGCAAAGTACCAGCAAAGGAGGAGAAAAAACTCCAGAGAAGCTCCAGAGACAGGAAGTCTAGTCCTGCTAAGAATGTAATAAGGGTTAATGGAGAGGCAGTTTCTGTAAGCAACACCAGAATGTTTCCTTCCTGCCTTCCTTACAGGATTAGCCCAGTAATTTCTTCTAACAACCGGTTCTCCAAACTGCTTAGAATGTTACAATGTTAGCGGTTCTAATGAATAGTTGCAAACTGGTAGAATCTCACCCCTGCTTTGAAGCTATTTATTCAAATACTGCTCAATTATAGTTCTGGATCAAACTGGTGAAAAGACACCAATTTTGGTTTTGTAGCCACTGTGTCACGATTTTCCATTATAGAAGACTAAGAAAAATGGGCTCAAAAGAGCCAGGCTTTGGGCAAGAGAGAGGAGTTAATTCTATTCTTTTTCAATCACTTCTTAGTTCTATTTAACCTGTTTTTTCAGATCTGAACTATTCTTTTTACCATAGTCCCATAGACTATTTTTTTTGCCCTGCACGCAGTGGCAGAGAAGTGGGCCTGTGTGATTGTGTGCCCACTGCCTCCTGTGTGCATGCATGCATGCATGCCAGAATGGTGTGGACTGGGGTACAGCGACGCAGGCCAGCTCCTTACAGTTTCCCTTTCGGAAGATGGGGATGAGTTTGCCAACAACCACAGCACAGAAGCTTGTCTTTCAAAGAGAGAGGCTTTGTTTCTTGTCTTTTGACTGCCCTGCCATTTCTGACAGGATTGTTGCTCGTTTTTGAGGCCTCCTACAGACCCTTCAACAGAGAAGCTGCTCTCAAGGAAAGTGACTACTTTTGAGTCGCCACAGAAATTTCCTCAATGTTCGCAAGACCGCAGACGGTTCTCAGGCATTAAAAAGAGGAAAATCTCGAAACTGCCGCCTGCTGGAGACGGCACGGCCTTTCCAGCCAGGCAATGTTAGAGAAAGACACTTTCCAATGCCCATCCATCATCCAGAACATGATGATGCATGCCTTCCATGTCCTCTGGCATCGCCCGCAGGATCCTCCAGGGGGCTCCCTTGGTAGCTATTGGAAGAGCTGCGCAGCGCCTCCCGCATCTCCCCCTTTCGAGGGAAACTGAGCATGCGCTTTCTTTCCCCGTCACAAGTCGTCTTTTTTTCCTCCCAGGAAAGGCTGGGAGCGCATGCTCAGAGTTTCCTAAAGGAGTCCGAAGAGTTTGCAGGGAAATCTTACACGGATGGAGATCTAGACGTTGCTACTGGAGGCGAGCATGGCGACCTGCAAAACTTCATCAGGTTCGGAGTTATGGGAAAGGGAGATCCCGTGGCCCCATGTTCCCCTGCCGCCCCTGTGCATGAACAGGCCAGGCAGGGGAGGAAGCAAAGCTCCGGCCCATCGCGCTGTTTTTTGGGGGGATGGGAGGGTGGCAATGAGGACAGCAGAGGCGAGGGGATGCATTTACCTTCCATTTCATTGGGAGAAACCCTGCGGAGTGGGGGAGCTTTGGAAAGTAGCCGTAACTTTTTCTTCCAAGGGCTGGACCGTGCTTGGAGAGGCGCAAAACTTCTTCAAGTTCGGAGTCCTGGAAAATGGGGAGCCCCTTGTCCCATGTTCCCCTGCCGCCACTGTGTATGCACGGGGAAGGCAGGGAGGAAATCAAAAGTTACGGTCCCGCTGCGCTGCCTCCAGAAGGAAAATCGGGACCGCCAAAAAGGTCGGGCCCATTCAGGATTAGGCGAAAAGTTGAGAAACCTCTTTCCAGGAGTTGCCTGCATCAAAACATCATGTTAGGTCCTAACTGGTTTGTTGATTCGGTTATTATTCTCTTTGCATTGAATCGCGGTTTGTTGATTGCGATTTCTCAGCTACCCATAGCGGTTTGGGCCAGGAGGTTAATGGGTTCTGCTATCTAACATTATACCGGAATTTCAAATATTGATTGATTTATCTATAAAATCGATTTCGGTTACCACTCATCTCAATGACTGTTTGTGACCTGAGACATTTATGATCTGAATCGTACAGAGATTGTTTTTAATGTTGCCAGCAGCCATCAAAATTATTTGAATAAAGAAGTAGGAATTCGAAAACAAACATGTTTTAAATTTATGCATCCAGTTTTTAGTCCTTGATCAAAGTTGATACAGAAAGTTACTACAGATATTTTTCCACGTGCAGATATATTAGTCCACCAACTAATAAAATTTTCTCCCTCTTTCTAGATATTGTTCAAGTCATAAGAATTTCTTTTTTGGGTTTTTGTTGATGCTCAGTTGTTCTGGAAGTTTTTTTTTTTTTTCCATTTCAGATATATAAGTTGGAAATCTTTCCTAGTTCCCTTGGAGTTGGAGGTATCTGGTGAGGAAAGCGAGCTAAATGGCCTTTAGGAGATTTAGCAAACGTCTTTTGATTAGTAAAACTTGGGAGATCCATTCATCCATTTTGGAGTTGGATTAGAGAGAAGATGGAAGGACAATACCCACCAGATGCAGGAGTTGGAAAAGGTCCTCCAGCCACTCAGCCTTGGAGCTGTGGGGAAAATGAGGCAAGTTCTGGGCAGAAGAGCCAAGAAGAGGAAGCCAACAGTTCAGAGGTTCAGTGCTATCACTTCAGCAAAGTGCAGTTCCAGGGGGGGAAGAGTCCCCGAGATATTTGCACTCAGCTTCACCACCTTTGCCGTCAATGGCTGCAGCCGGAAACACACACGAGGGCTCAGATGCTGGACTTGGTGCTCCTGGAGCAGTTCCTGGCTGTCCTTCCCCCAGAGATGGAGAAATGGGTGCGGGAGTGTGGAGTGGAGACCAGTTCCCAGGCGGTGGCCCTGGCTGAAGGCTTCCTCCTGGCCCAGGAGTCTGAAAAGATCCAGGTGTGAGAATATAATCATTTCAGCTCTAAAGAGAATCTCTCTGAACTTGTCAATTCTCTTTTGGTAGAGTTCTCTGGGAGTATTAACATTTAAGGCCAGTTGTTCCATTTTTCTTCCAGATGATGTGTTTGAGACAATTCTTCCATTTTCTTTCAAGTTTCACAAATGGACATTGAGGTCTGCTAGTTTAAAGCTGCAGTATGATAATTCCTTCATGTCTTTCTTTGTTTCTCATCTCACATCCTGTCCAGAAATCCTTGGAAGATATGACAGAATATCCCAAGGGGAGGAAGGATTCATTCAAATCTTCCCAAGAGCTGCTGTTCAGGGAGACCTTATGCAAAGATCAAAGTCAGAATGCCACTCCAGGTAAGAAAAGTTCTTTCTGTGTGATGTGAGATTTCAACATTTAGCCTATTCTTCTGCTCCTCTTGATTGGAATTTCTCTTAAGAAATCTGCTTCCACCATTTTTCTCTTTCTCACAGAGAGTAGAAAGCTGTCCTTGGAATTTTTTGAATCAGTTCCCCTTTGTGGTGAATCTGGGAGATTGGCTGAACCGCTACTTCAGGTAAGAAGAAGAAACATTGGAAAAGGTCCATGAATCTTAGATGGGTTTCATTTTGTTGTAATAAATTGCTGTTTCTAAGAATAAGATATTAGATTCAAAATTCATATTCAGCTTAGCCTATCTCTCCCTTCTGATGGGATCCTTTGTGTGACACTTTCCCAGGTTATTCTCACATACCATTACAAAAATATCCTCTTTTTTTCCTTTTGAAAAGCATCTTTGGGACAACCATGACCTGGTGACTGGGAATCTCTATAGACATATCCTGTTACAACCTCTTCTAACACTTTCAAGAAGGTGTGCAGTTGGGTTACATTTGCCCTCAGTGGATAAAGTAACCCATTGGCAAAAATGTCAAGTGGGTATTGCCAGTATTTGACATTGCACATCCTAGGAAAATTGGAGCCACTGATAACTAATGAATTTAAGACCCAACTACCAAGTGACCAAGAAAACTATTTTAGTTGGCTACACTGAAAGGAATTTCTCATATTTCCAACATGATCCAATGTGCTTCAGTTGTGCCGTCGGTCAAAAGCAGTGAGATCTCATTCTCAATTCTTCCCGAGATGCTCATTTTGTTCACTGGATCTCTCTTCTTGAATTGACAGAAGAGAACTGTCAAATTATTTTTGGGATTATCTGTTAACAGGAAAACTTGTTTCCTTGTTCAGGGTGGTGTGTCTTTTGAGGACGTGGCTGTGTATTTCTCCGAGGAGGAGTGGTCTCAACTGGATGCTAACCAAAAAGCGCTCCATGGAGAAGTCATGCTGGAGAATTCCAGGAATCTGTTTTCTCTGGGTAAGAACCCTGTCTGTGCTCAGAAACATACAGAATTCATGGGGTGGAGGGATTAGATGTTATTAAACAATAGATTAAGTGAAATAAGTGATTTTATAAAATCATTTACGTATATCCTGCCTTTTTTTAGTAAATAATAAAGGCAGTGGACAAAGTCAATATTGCTCCCTTCTGCTGTTTTCCCTACAACAGCAACTCTGTGACATGGGTTGAGCTGAGGGAGACTGACCCAAAATCACACAGCCAGCATTCAACCCTAAGGCTGAACTAGTGTTAGTGTTTGGGGACAAACCCCCAAGCAGAATGTGCAGCAGCAGTCAAGCCAGGCAGCCAAATGAGAGAGGCTGGGCCCAAGAGTATACACTCACTGGAGACAAACACTGTTTGTTGTTTTAAATAGTTGTTTAATCCATTCAGAGTTTAAGCATTGTCAATCAGTCCATATGTCATTCACAAATATATCCATCCAGTAACTTAGTCCATTAACTAGTCAGTACTATGTCCTTATCTGCTTGTTGAGATATCTTCTCCTTCCGATACCTTTCTCTTGAAGACAACGCTGAGTATTCACAGGATATCAGCTCACCAAGGAAATAGTCCTTTTGTTCAGCAGAAACGGTATCCAGCACAGTAGCCAACAAACAGTATCAAGCAGACGTCTCAAACAGGAGTAAGCAGCAGGCAGGCAGAGAGCAGAGGCAGAGAGTTACGTTTCTCTTACTGCCTTTTATTGCAGTTTGTAACCGCACCCTCAATTAGCTAATTACATTGCAGTTTGGTGCTTAAAGTTACAAACACTTAAACCTTGGTTTATATATTTATTCACCCAAACTTAGTTGGTGTATCAATATACCCAACACTCACTGACCTTGTTTCTAGCCTGATCCTTTAACCTCTAGGCCACCAATGGGCCTGAGCTGCTATAACCAAGACTGTAGGATTCCTGAGTGGGATGTCCCTTCTCTGAGATGTGCCCACTTGTGTACCAAGTTTAACATCAACCTAATTGAGGGTGGGGGGCTATTGCCATCCAGAAATTCCCCTTGGCTTTCAAAGATTCTGCCCTGCAGACAAGTGGGGATGAGACTTCCAATGAAGTTGGGCAGCTGGTAGGAATGTTGTTGACCCAGCATGACCCTGTGTCCAATGGACTTCAGGAGTTTGTGGCCCCATGGAATAGTCCCAGGCCAAAGATTAGGTTGTGTCTTAGATTCATTGTGATGTGATCCAATCAGATTATATGAATAACAGTAGGGATACATTTGGAAATGGTTCCTTGCTAAAGTCGTAGTTTGGAATCATCATGTTTGCCAACAAATCAGCCAAAATATATTGATGATTTTTTTTGGCTAAATTTCAGAATAAAAGTTTTGATAGTTCTATCTTTTGCTACAATTTTCTTTTTTCTTTTTTAAGGCTATAATGGACAGGAGAATAAGAATTGCATGGAGGAATTCCAAACGACCCATTCAAAAGAGAGGAAAAGGAAGCGATATCAATGCAAGGAGTGTGGAAAGTGCTTTAGCAGGAAAAACGTTCTGATTCACCATAAAACTATCCATACACAGGAGAAGTTATATCAGTGCATGGAATGTGGGAAGACCTCTTATTATAACTCTTTTATAATCCATCAAAGGAATCACAAAGGAGAAAGGCCTTATAAATGCATGGAGTGTGGAAAGACCTTTACTTGCAGGAGTAGTCTCAATTCCCATAAGAGGATCCACACAGGAGAGAAACCATATCAGTGCAAGGAATGTGGAAAGATCTTCTCTCATACTTACTCTCTTATAATTCATCATAGGAATCACACAGGAGAGAAGCCATATCAATGCATGGAGTGTGGAAAGGGTTTTAGCAGTAGTAGTCATCTTTCCTCCCATAAAAGAATCCACACAGGAGAGAATCCATATCGATGCATGGAGTGTGGAAAATGCTTTAGTAGGAAATATACTCTCATTCACCATAAAACTATCCATACAGAAGAAAAGCCATATAAATGCATGGAATGTGGAAAGACCTTCTGTTATTATGACTCTCTTTTAAGACATCAAAGGAATCACAAAGGAGAAAGACCTTATAAATGCATGAAGTGTGGAAAGACCTTTACTTGTAATGGTAGTCTTAATTCCCACAAGAGAATCCACACAGAAGAGAAGCCATATAAGTGTGTTGAATGTGGAAAGGGCTTTAGGTGGAATTCTGCTCTTACCACCCATAAAAGGATCCACACAGGAGAAAAACCATATCAATGCATGGAGTGTGGAAAGACCTTTGCTCGTAACAGTACTCTTAATTCTCACAAAAGGATCCACACAGGTGAGCGGCCATATAAATGTGTGCACTGTGGAGCAGGCTTTAGAAGGAGTTGTGATCTCAGTTCCCATAAAAGGATCCATGTGGCAGAAAAAACAATATGAATGGTGTGTGGTAAGAGCTTTGCAATGAGTAACACTTACTTGCCATAAAAGGATCTACACACCGGAGAAACCATATCAATAAAGGAAGTATGGGAAGAGCTTCAATATAAATGCAGGTGGTCCTCAGTTCATAACTGCAATTGATCCCAAAATTTCTGTTTGCTGAGCAAGACAGTTGTTAAGTGACTTTTGCCCCATTTTACTAAAGTCTTTACTGAAACTTTAAAACATTAAAATACAAATAAATTTTAAAAATAACTTTGTATGAAACTCAATCATCTTTGACAGTACAAATATATCAATTTGTTTTTCAAATACATTTGTATACATTCCTAATTTCATATATATATATATGGATCTTTGGTTGTTCGGGTTTTCTCCCGCGTAAGATTCAAAGTATCTAGGCAACGTTTCGATGAAGTCTCATTCATCATCTTCAGGCTTCTGTCTTCGGCTCTTGCTTCTCAGAGTGATGTGAGATTGCAGCTGCTTCTTCCTTTTAACTGCTAGTGGGGGTGGGACTTGATTGGGTGGGGGCTTGGCTGTGTTCTGATTGGGTGGGGGTGTGTTCTGATTGGTTGGGGGGTTGGCCGTGTTCTGATTGGTTGGAGGCGTGTTCTGTTCAGGTGGGGGCTTGGTTGTGCTCAGGTTAGTCTTAGTTGCTGGGGGATTTGAGTTGGTGAGCTGTAATCTTGCTGTTTGGCTTCGAGTTCGTGGTCGTGCTGCATCTTCATAGTGGGTGTCGGTTTGCTTCGTGTATGGCTCGGAGGGGTTTGAAGTGGGTAGTGATGCAGCTGCAGTGCGGCTTCTGGTCTGTGGTTGTGTGTCATCTTCTGAGTGGGTGTGAGTCTGTTTTCTACATGGAAGTGTGGTGGTGGCATCTTGTGTGGCTCTCATGGGTGTGGGTCTGGTGTCATTCTTCATGTTAGGGACTCGTCTGTAAGCTCTAGAAAAATACGACCACAACCCACTTCAAACCCCTCCGAGCCATACACGAAGCAAACCGATGAAGATGCAGCACGACCACGAACTCGAAGCCAAACAGCAAGATTACAGCTCACCAACTCAAATCCCCCAGCAACTAAGACTAACCTGAGCACAACCAAGCCCCCACCTGAACAGAACACGCCTCCAACCAATCAGAACACAGCCAACCCCCCAACCAATTAGAACACAGCCAAACCCCCTACCAATGAGAACACACCCCCACCCAATCAGAACACAGCCAAGCCCCCACCCAATCAAGTCCCACCCCCACTAGCAGTTAAAAGGAAGAAGCAGCTGCAATCTCACATCACTCTGAGAAGCAAGAGCCGAAGACAGAAGCCTGAAGATGATGAATGAGACTTCATCGAAACGTTGCCTAGATACTT